AAAAAAAAAAAAAAAAAAAAAAAAAAAAAAGAAAAGAAAAAAATTACAAAAATTAGCTGGGCATGGTGGTGCATGCCTGTAATCCCAACAACTTGGGAGGCTGAGGCATAAGAATTGCTTGAACCTGGGATGTGGAGGTTGCAGTGAGCCAAGATCATGCCACCGCACTCCATACTCTGTTCCCCCCACAAAAAAAAAAAAAAAAAAAAGAGAAGACAGCCGCATTCTGCAGTAACAGTTCAAATACTCACTTCAGCCAGTGTTTTAAGGTGAATTCCATAGTCAGACAGTGTTCCTCACACTGATAGTTCCAGGGAAAGTCAGGATGTCTCAGCATCATTGACACCCCCTTCCCCACCCCCGTCTTGGCTGGCACACCTGGGGTTCAGGGGCCTCTGTCCTCAAACTCCCCCTTGGGAGCCGAGGCTGATGCAAGGGCTGGGCCTGGGTCACTAAGGAGATGGGCTCAGGATTTAGGGTCATCCCTAGAGGAACACAACGCCTACAACAAAACTCGCCAGTTCCCTAGCGAGGCCCAGGTGACAAAATCCACTCTCACGCACCTTCTTATGCCTTCTCACATAAGTCTGGGAAGGCATTACTCTCCTAGGCGCAGAAAGCTTCTATAATTAACCATGATCACTCAGAAACTACAGAGCAGGGATGCCATCAAGTTTCTGGGCTCCAGGCCCAGGGTTCTAACAAGGCAGACGTGGGGATTATTCTAGGCCCACACCCATTGGACCACATCATGGCGCCAGCCCACACCTCTGGCAGCCTCGGCAAAGTCTCTGTGAGACTCAATCCCTGCCTTCAGGGCAGCTGTGGAGAACCTACTGACCTTCTGAGCCAGAGAAAAAGTCAGCTACTTTTAGATGGAGTTTTCTAGGTGGGATAAAGAATCCTGTTAAATAGGAGAAAAAACAATTTACTGCGTATGTGGAATTCTCAAAGTCGGTGCCCTGGGGACACTGGGCACTGCTGCCTGGGCCCTAAACAGATTAGTGAATTCAGAACTCTGGGGTGAGGCCCAGGCACTGGCCTTTTTGAAGGCTCTGCAGGTTCACCAGCATGCAGCCAGGCTGAGGATCCCCATGGCTGATAAACTATGCTGCGTTTTCTTTTTACAATGGAGTTGATTATATGCTGCATATTCTGAACTATCACGATGTTCTCCAAGATAATGAGGAGCATACCAAGCATCAGAAAGCTAAATCATTATAGAATGAAATCTGCAAGGTTTTCTTTGGATTTTAGCTTTCCAATCACTTTTTAAAATCTATACATATATTTATAGGTTTCTAAAAGATTCTATAACGTGGTCTTCTCTCCACTAACATGAATAAATTCATTTTACCAAACAGATTCTCTGAATTCATTCACGTAAATACTAATGTTTTCAAACATGAATATAAAGTGGGCAAAATAAAAAATAGTGGTCTCTGGAGAGCTTACATCTGTCACAAGTTGGCTTAGGCTATTGCAAATGAATTTGTAGGATGAGCCAAGAAACTTATCAAAGGGAAGGAAAACAATTCCACATAAGGGAAGGGTCTGCAGATGTGAACATCTGTGTAATAGAAGACACTAAAAATCTTCCCAGATGTGAAATACTCTCTCTGCTTGAATCTAAGATATATTACCCAGCCAGACAATGACTAATAAAATTCTGACTCTTTCAGAATACCAAGACCTTCCAAACAAACTTCTGAAGACCTCCCAGGAATTTAAGAGAAAGCCTCCTTAATCTATCTCTAAATGATGCAACTTCTTTGAACAATTCTTTCAGCTGTTAAATTCCTGTGCTCTGTCAGAAATGTCTTCCCTGATTCACTGTGAGAAGGGGACAGAAAAGGACTCTGAAGTGGAAAATAGCTGCCTCAAAACATCCTGGCTCTGGTTGCTTCTTGAAGGGCAGCAGAGACCTAGATCATGGACATTAGGTGGGTGTTTTGCGGAGCTTCCTGTTGGCCTGGCTGCCCCCCAGGGCGGTTTTATCTGCTCTTTTATAGCATCTAAGTCTTTAAAGATGAAAATTCGTTCCTGAAAGGGAAGTTTCATTATTGCTTGTAGCCTGGGCTTGATGAGCTAGATATTTTGCAGATGTCCAGAACAGAGCAACGTCTCGCCTCAATATACTTTTCCCACCAGAAAACTTAAAAAACTGAGGGCATGGTCAAGGGTGATAATAAATCAAGGATGAATGTTTTAATAGAGACCAAGAAGGAAACATGGGGGAAAACTAAGGCAAAGAAGATGCTCTGAACATTTTTCCAGTTGCATTTGAAATAACTTTTCCCTGTAGCATGAGTCTTCCTGCGTATTCTAGAGGCAACACAGGCACACACTGTTCCCTGGGACTTCAGAGTCATATTTAGCACTTAGAATAACTTCTCTGGCACTTTGTATCCCAAGGTATTTTAAAGACATTAATTAAGGATTCAATTAGTTGTTTCAATTTAAGTAATAGAAAGAATATATCTAATTACTACTGGCTTCCTGAGACTCTCAGAAGGATTAACCACCAAATGCAGGAGCAGCCCTGTTTTCTCAGATCTCTGACCACTCACGATATAGAGAAAAGCAATTCACTCTTGCTACATTTCCCTCCCTAGGGTCATCTTACTCAAAATTGACCTTATTCTTGCCCAAAGCTAAAATATAGCTTTCCCCACAGCAGGAATTGGGGCTCATCCTCTGTCTCCAGCTCTGAGCAGGTGTCCTGCGCACAAGTGCTCAACACGCGTTTGTCAGATGGACCGCCCATGAGATGGCCCGGCTTAGCTCTAAACCCTAGCTTAAGGTTCAGTTTGGGAAGCCACCATCTCATCCTTGCCAGTAACTAGCACACAGGCTTTGGGACCCCAAGGTGGCTTCCCCTCTGCAGTGTGACCCAGCTGGGTGCAGCTGATGGCCCGTCCACTCTGCCAGCTGTGGAAGGTGCCTCTAGCACATGGCCTGGGTTCCACTGGCAGGCAGGTGAACTCACTGCCCGACTGATACATTAACACAGGTCAGCAGGAGGCCTAGTCAGGGAAACTGCTGCAAATCAGCACGTGGCAATCACCACTCTGTGATGGAAAACAGAGCAGGTATGTGCCGTGGGCTTCTGCTTGCAGAGATGCAGTGCCTGCTTGCTTTTTTGAGACAGAGTCTTGCTGTGTCCCTCAGGCGTGAGCCACCATGCCAGGCTAATTTTTATACTTTTAGTAAAGACGGGGTTCCACCATGTTGGCCAGGCTGGTCTCGAACTTCTAACCTCATCCACCTGCCTCAGCCTCCCAAACTGCTGGGATTACAGGTCTTGATCCACTGCACCTGGCCTGGTGCCTTCTTGATGATCTTCCTATTAAAACGGTCCACAGGTTACCATGTCCTGAAACTTTCATTACACTCTCTAACTTCAGAGACTCTGAAAAAGTTTTGTCCTGGGCTGGTATTCTTGGTATTCCCAAACCAGGAGAGTCCCAGAGACTCAGAATGACTTATGTCTGCCTCATCTGGAAGCAGCCAAGGTTGGCTTCCTAGTCTGTCTGATGACACAGGTGAGCTCCCAAATCAGCCATCATGAGGAGAAAAAAATGACAATGAAGGCAGGAAGATCTCAGGTGATGGAGAACTTTTTTCAAAAGGGCTCAGGAAGGAGCAAGGGAGATGCAGAAACGGTAATAGCATTAGTTAACAGCAAAAGAATGCAAAGAGCTGGAGAAAGATGCCCAGCTCTGTTCCACTGAGTTATCGGCTCAGTCATCAGAGCAATTAAGTTTATTCTCATCAGAGATGACCTGCTTATGATAAATTAGTTGCAACGGCTGGAAGAAAACATACCAATAGTCCACAAGGAAGTGACAAAGAGCTTTCTCAGCACTTCTTGAAACAAATGAAAAACAAGGCTGACGGGTATCTGGGAAGATGTGAAACTTTCAGTGATGAGGTTTTGTTCCAGAAAGAAGAAAGTTCTTAAGCCCCAGTTGTGATAAACATCCAAAACGTTCAGGCTATGGCTTTGGAATGTTGAGGTGAAAATAACTTTCTGCACATTCATGAGAAGTCATCTCCCACTGATTAAGCCCTATTTTCAGGCTCATTTTTTTCTCTTCATAGTGTTCTGAGTAGCCAGGTGACTGGGTTCTCAGGAGAGCAGCGTGATCATCCTGCCCACTTCTTGGCAGGGCACTGCCTACCTTACCCAGGGCATGTTTGGCCCTTTCCTGTTTCCTTTCTTTCAGTTGTTTTGCATTGAGAAGAGCAACGTTGGAGAAAAGGCAGGAGCCACAAGACAGAGCTGGGGCTTTGCAATTTTTTTTTCTTTTTTGAGATAGGGTCTCACTCTTTTGCCCAGGCTGGAGTGCAGCGGTGTGATCTTGGCTCACTGCAGCCTGGATCTCCTGGCTCAAGTGATCCTTCC